AAACTAAATGAAAATATTGACGTTGGTCCCCGGGTTCTAACACTATATGAACTTGTAGGTAGATACCAACGTCCATCTTTAACTCGGTCTTGAGTTATTTTCATATTTACTCAAAATCTGAGAAATTACAGTTTCTTCATAACTTTTTCAATCACCGGATGGCAGTTAGCATCACAATACACTCCTCTAGAAGACGATATTCATGATGTTCTTCTGGTTTTAGCCTCTCATATCAGCCTCCCGCTTAACACACAACCTGGAAGATCACCCCTTGTCGCCTGTACGCGGCTGTTTATGTGATACATTTGCACTTATCTTCCATATCAAGAGGGCAACGTAATTTCCTGAACTTGTCAGTGAAGTTTTAAGACACGGCCTACACTTCTGTATAGTTTAAACACACGTCCGGCTCCTACAGACTGTGTCGGGTCATATCAATTAGCGTCATAGTTCTCTTAGGGCTGCTGTTATTACAAGAAAATACAAAACGATCATCTCGGCAATACTAAATTTATATCTTAGTCAAATCAACTCAAGATAGGTTTCTTACAAAAGTGTGGAAATGTGCACTTAACAGAGGGCACAAAACTTGCATGCTGAGTTGTATGAAATTTAAAAATTAAATATGAAACACATGGTAAAATCGTATTGATGGAAAACCACCACGCCTCTAATACAAGTGTGTGTGTGTGTCCAACCATCTTCGTGATCGAGCTCGCAAGAACATTCTAAAATACAACAAAATGTCTTTGAAAAGTTTCCCACTTCACACACCTTCTCGGTATTCGTTCCATTTGCGCTACGTCAAGGCCCGCCCTAATCATCGCCTCGCTGTTATATCGATAACATCCCAGGAAGTTCAGTTGTCTTATCTGCTCATGGAATCCCCCCAAAAATAAAAACGTGTGACGTTAACAATGCACGTGAAAGTTCAATGAGAGAAATTAATAAGCTAATACGCAATTCATTAACAGTATACAGGCCTACATGTATTTCCCCGAGTCCATAAACTCATTACCAAACGTCACCATTTCCGTTAATATCTGAAACGCATAACTCGCAAAAACGGAAAATTCCTGTCCATAGTCTAACAACAGACAGAAAGCTGGTAAGAGTTTGGTGACAACTAACCCCCCCCCCCCCCCCCCCTACACACAAAAAAGTCTAGCGAAAAGTGGAAGTGGCAGTAATTTCTTCATCGTTATTTAAGAGTAACACAGGCGTCAATTATAAGCCGGGATAGCTTAGTCAGTATAGTGACTAGCTACGGGCTGGACGACCGGGGTTCGATCCCCGACGGGACAGAGGATTTTTCCTCTAGCCTCTGCGTCAGACCGGCTCTGGGCTACAATAGGTACCGGGGTCCTTTCCCGGGGATAAGTCCGGCCGGGGCGTGATGCTGACCACTCACCCCCATCTAGTGCCGAGGTCAAGAAAGAGAGGAGCTACACCTCCACTCACCCCCAAGCGCCTATACGGCACGTAGCGGGACAAACTTTACTTTACAGGCGCCAATTAACGTTTTCAGATTTCGTCTCAAGATTTCTACGGTACAGAATAAAACAGCGACAGAACAAACACAAATAAAATTATAAATAAAGAAACCTCAGAAATTTAAGTTATATTAGCTTAATGATCTCATGCGTGCTGCATGAGCTGTCCATCCCATCCTTCTTATTTCATCACCTTAACAGTATTCTTAAAAGGGTGCATTTTACAAAAATTCTCATCTCGCAGTTTTCTCCAGCTTCCTGTCACTTCTTCTCTCCCTACTCAAAATATCCTCCTCACACCCTTTTATCAAACACCATCAATATTTGTACTTTCCTTGACGTAACACACCAAGCTTCACACCCACACAAAGTAGCAACTAAAATACAGGTTCGTGTGTTTCAGTCTTTATTTTATTACACAGCAGTCCGGAAGACAAAAATTTCTTAACTAAATGGTAACAAGCATTGCCCGAATTTAATCTACTCTTATTTAAACATAACCAATGACGAAATATAACATAAACCGCCTTGAGCACTTCCGTACAGTACCTATTTAATTATTTGCAAGAAAACTTTTAAAACAGAAGCCATGTTCGAACCACGACACGCCTCATCCCTTCCACCAAAGTCTGTCTTCAGCCAGCTGTGTAGCCTCGCCAGTGATGTTCACAAGGAAGCCGTTTGTAGGATTTTAATTGAAGGATTGGATATTGATTAACCGTCAGGAGCCAGGTCCTGGCAATCGCACAGACACACATCAGGGAAGGGGGGGGGGGGAGGGGGGGGGGGGGGGTTCCAGCAACTATCCGGGTTCTGTGGGAGTGATTAATTGCTCACACCCACTGGAATCTCCCTGCAACCAACAGGTAGCGAAATCTATTACGCTTTTTCAGAAATGTTATGATGTTATATTTGACCTTCACTTAATGTACAGAACATACATTAA